CAAAACAGCCAAGCTTAGGCAGTGAAGGAAACCATGGAAATCAGAAAGCTAGTGAAGATGTAATTGAACAAGGGAGCCATGTTCTAGCCCCAGCAAACAATAGAACCTGGCAGCTTTGGCCATGTGGTTCTGGCTTTCCAGTCAAGGGTAGAAGAAAGGCACTATGGAATCTTCCTCCATGACTAAGGAAAGCTGCTGAGGCCTGGTATGTGGCAGGGGTGTCTCTGAATGGAGGCCTAGAGAGACCATTGTGTAAAGCTATAAAGCTGAAGCCTGGATTGCTTTGGAGACCCCAAGATGTTAGAGATGCCAGAGTTGTGGGATACCAGCTGAGGAGAGTTGCTTCGAGAGTGGAACCAGCCCAAGAGAAAGAAGTGTGTTGCTGTCAACAAAGTGGAACAGAGTTGGAGATCTGAAGAGTGCTTTTTGTTGTTGTTGTTGTTTTCGAGACAGGGTTTCTCTGTGTAGTTTTGGTGCCTGTCCTGGATCTTGCTTTGTAGATCAGGATGAACTCAAACTCACAGAGATCCACTTGGCTCTGCCTCCTGAGTGCTGGGATTAAATGCGTGTGCCACCTCCGCCTGGCCTTGAAGAGTGTTTTGACATCAGACACAGAGATGCAGAGTTTGGAGTTTGCCCAGCTGGTTTTCAGTCTTGCTTTGGTCCAGTATTTCCTCACTATGCTCCCTTCCCTATGTTTTGGAATGGTAATGTATATTTTGTGCCATTATATGTTGGAAGTATTTTATTTGCTTTTTTGATTTTACAGGAGACTACAGATTCAATGAATCTCAGAAAAAGACTTTAAACTTTGAACTTTGAAACAAGTTTGAGACTGTTAGAGGCTATGGGGACTTTTGAAGTTGGACTGGATGCATTTTTGCATTATGACATGGCTACAAGCCTTTGGGGGCCAGGGAGAGGAATGCGGTGATTTGAAAGAAGATGTCCCCAAAGGGAATGGTACTATTAGGAGATATGGCTTTATTGGAGTAGGTGTGGCCTTGTTGGAGGAAGTGTGTCACTGTGGAGATGGGCTTTTAGGTCTCATATATGCTCAAGCTTCATTCATTGTGATATTCAGACCACTTCCTGTTGCCTGTAAGATGTAGGACACTCAGCTACTTCTCCAGCACCATGTCTGCCTACATGCTGCCATGTCCCACCATGATGATAATGGACTGAACCTCTGAGCTGTAAGCCACCACAATTAAATGTTTTCCTTTATAAGAGTTGCTGTGGTCATGGTGTCTCTTCACAGAAACAGAAACCCTAACTAAGACATGTTCTAATTATTGCATGGTTATCATAGGTTACAAAAACAAAAGACTCATTTAATAACCACACTGAAAACATGCTACTTTGCATGCATTAAACTGAATGTGTCTTTAATCTGTAAGATTTTGAATTATATATTAAGTTTTGACACAGGTCTGCAGTTTTGAGAGTCCCAGGCATGAAGGGAACTAGATGGACTAGAATCAGTTTAAAACAGCTATTTACAAAGTAATCATTTAAAGTGTTTTGATCTAAACAGATATTTGAGTCCCAGCTTTATTAAAATAATTTTCTAAGCAGTCTGAAAAACTACCAGAAAACTTTTTTTTTTTAAACAGTCTTGGTTTAAATCTTTGGTAAGTAAAGACTCATCAAATTCCCCACCTAAGTACAGAAAGATCTAACAGTATCATTTAAATGACATATTTAAGTTTCAAGATGTCAGAAGATGACAGGCAGCTATTTGTGGCTGTAGACTGTCTTGTATTTTCCCCAGGCCTCCGACAGGCAAATACTGTACAAAGTACACAACCTATTTCTTTGACAGCCACCCGTATCTACCTGCTACACATGGTAAGGGCTCAACACCCTTGCAGCCACCTTCCTCTATGTGGGAAATGTTTCTTCTTGCACAGGCTGCTAGCTTGACAAGCACCCACCCCTATGTCCTGAGTCTCCCTCATCTCCTCTGCACCAAGATTAACCCATGGTAAGATTATGAAGCTGAGCTCTCGAGGGTGAATAGGGTAAATACAGTCATCACCCACGACGGAGACATAAGCGAGGCCATCTTGGCCGTGTGCTTGCTGGCCTGCTTTGGGTCGCAGCCCACCCTTTCTGGAGAAGGAGATTTCCTTGCTGAGCTGCTTGCACTTTTGTGTTCCTTTGTGACACAGAGGTTCCTCTTTGTTTCGAACATCTACAGTCCTCATGAGCCTCCATTGTTGATGAAATAATTGGTGTCTGGAAAAGAAAAACCCAATTTTTAAATGCAGTCTGGGCACCATTCACTTATAATTTGAGTCCTTGAAAGGCTGAATTACATTCAATTTAAGAGATTTTTTTAAAAATTACTTTTAATTACATGTAGGTGTGTGTACCAATGAGCACCCGAATGCAGGTGCCCTCAGGCTAGAGGCATCAGATCTTTGGAGCTGGGCTTACAATTATATGACACCGACAGGATGCTGGGATCCAAACTCAGGCCCTCTGGAAGAGAAGCAAGTGCTTTTAATCGCTGAGCCATCTCTCCAGCCCCTCCATCTGATTTTATTGTCTTTTATTTTGGTTTTATGTAGCCCTGGCTGTGCTGGGACTCGCTCTATAGACCAGGCTGACCTTGAACTCACAAAGATCTGTCTGCCTCTGCTTCTTGAGTGCTGGGATTAAAGACGTGTACCATCACTGCCTGGCCAATTTATTTCTAAGACTTATTTTATGAGTGTTTTGCCTGCAGGTATGTGGGTACATTGTGTGCATGCCCAGGTCACCTGGAGCTGGAGTTATACATGATTGTGAGCCAACACATGAATGCTGGGGAATTTCCTCTGCTTAACTGGCTGCTTCTCCAACTCTCCCATCCAGTTTTAACCTGCATGTATTCCAAGGCTTTTACAAAGACCAAAAGATTAAAATGTATTGTTTTATTTTATAACAATAGACAGATGAAGTTTTTCCGCTAAGTAACAATCTTCATGTACTTTGCCAAATGAAAACTTACAAAATTCCTTCACTCTTTACCTTGTCATCTTTACTAAGATCTTAAATCATTGCCTTGAGATGAAAACTCAAGGCACATGGGCCCAGCAACCCTTTCAAACCATTTAACAAGTCCAAGGGCTGAAAAACGGTATAAAGGTGGGCAGTTCACAACTGGATTTGACAAGAAAACCTTTGCTTTTCTTTTACCAAGATGTCCCATTACTGAAATCCTGCCTCTTGTCAGTCTTCATTCCCAGAAATGGTTCTTTAAAATAGACTGAGGTGCAAAGCTAAGAGGAGACCGCAAGCTGCTTCCAGGTTGGTCCATTGTTCCCTTCCAGAGTTCACATACAGTTCGTGAATAAACGCCATAACAAGAACACAGAGCACAGCAGGAGGGGGAGGCCACAGCCTCAGAGTTTCAAACATACAACAACAGTTTCAGCACAGGCTGCCGTCAACAAAACAACTAACAAGACTCTCACCGAGTTGCATGGATCAGTTGGAGAGCATATTACAGATATATTTACAAACACGGATATTGAATTATCTTATCAGAGACCCTGCAGCTAACGTCCCTGTCTTCGTAAACAATACTAGTTTGAGTCCGGTAATTTTTATCATGGACATACTTGTGGCATTGTTGGGTAGACACAAGCCAGGCATTAGCAGGTGTGGAGGCCACAGAGGATGGACCCCTCCTCAGCACCGGCTTTGGATGCCATCACCCATTTCCTTGTCCAAGCAAGGGACTCATCACAACTGTCCCTCCTTAAGATTCAAAATGTGAATCTTATGAAATGCAGGAGGGTGGAGGGATCAGGGCTTTACTGAGTCCACTGAGAAAAAGCCGCTTCTTACTGGTCAAAAGAACACGGAGTTCCACCTCTGGCTCTGGGTGGTGACATGACATTCTACTCTGTCTCAAATATGAGAACATTATATTGTCCCTCCCTTCTTGCAGGTGCTCACACTGTTTGCCCTCTTTTATGAGTTCTAATTCACAAGCAGTAGCTTGCCCTGCACTCAACCTCTGTGTCTTTTCATCAGATACTTAATGAAACATGTCCACCCTTAGGGTGGTCTACTCTCCATGCACACAGCTTTTTGCAGACCTCTTTCTCTGAGCTTGCTTGCTTTTTTGGACCCTGACTCAATAAGGAATATCTCTTCCTCTTCTCCATCTTCTTCCTCCTGACAGCAAGACTTCCAGCGTGCTTGCCCTGTTTTTCTTTCAAAACTTCAATAAAATGGTCCTCAAGTTTCCTTCTGAGTTCATTTAGAACTTTATGAATGAGATCCACAAAGAACTCTTTCCTGATAAGATAGCCATATATTTTAAGACATTATTTAAACAAAATGTTGGGTCTGGTATGGTGGTACATGCCTTTTATCCCAGCACTCCAGAGGCAGAGGCAGGCAGATGTTTGTGAGTTTGAGGCCAGCTGGGTCTACAGAGTGGGTTCTAGGCTAGGCAGGGCTACATAATGAGACTGTCTCAAAAAACCCCACCCAAACCAACAAAATTAAATAAACAAATATGTTATCATCTGTAGATGTAACCAACTGTCTTATTAAATAAGAAACACAGAACCAATGCAAAGAAGAAAGCCAAGAGGTCAGAGCTAAGAGCTAAAACCTTATCCTTCCTCCTGCGGTGGTCCTACCTCTCCGAATCAGAGCTACTTCCTGTGTTAAAGTCCTTATATAGAGTTTCTGTTCTGCCTTCTCATTGGTTGTAATCCCAACCACATGACCGCTTTGTCGTGGCCTGTCTGTATAGACCTCCAGGTTTTCTATGATTGGTGTTGAGATTAAAGGCATGTATATCCAATACTGGCTGTATCCCTGAACACACAGAGACTTACCCAACTCTGCCTACCAAGTGCTGGGATTACAAGCGTACGCCACCACTGCCCTGCTTTCCTATGGCTTGCTAATAGCTCTGACCCCCAGGCAACTTTATTTATTAACATACAAATAACATTTTAATACAAATAAAATATCACCATAATCATCAATTAGTTGAATAGAAGAATTATCTCAACATAGTATTTTATTTGAATGAAGGCCCAGAATTCATGCAAAAATATTTTTACATAGGACAACCCTAAAATTAATCTTTGAAATTTACATTTTAAGTTTGCCCAGCAAAAAGCAGTTTGGAGATATCTGAATACTTAATAAAAGCATATTTTAAACAATTTAATCATCATTTAGGCTATAAGTTATATCTCTGGTGAATTCTGTGAGATTTTTCTCAGCCTCAGCATGGACTATACACTATGCCAGAAACATAAGGACATGTCTGTGTCTTTCCACAAGGGCAGAATTTACTGTATAGCAAATAAAACCACAAGGTTTAGCAGTTTCCTTTAAATTTTTTGCATTAATTTTTAAAAGTTATGTGTATATGGTGTGTTGTCCATGTGGGAATCGGTGCATGTGGGTACCTACAGGGGTCAGTGGTATCAAATCTGCTGGAGCTGGAGTTACAGGCAGTTGTGAGCCACCTGATGCGGGTGCTGGGAGCTGAATTCAGGTCACCTGCAAGAACAGTGTACTCTTAACCATCTCTCCAGCTCTACTTGAGTGGTTTCTGTCATCATCTGTCTACCTTGGTAGCCTGGCCAAGGTGAATGAAGGGTCTTTTATTCCAATCTTAATTACTAGCGTAAACACTCATATCTCACGGCACCTGTACCTATATATGTTTCTGTAGATTACAGAACAAGTTGTAGCAGAGTTTGAGAGGTTTTAGAAGTGGGCTGAGGGATGAGATAATGAACTGGTTCTTGGAGGGGGTTGCTGCTGCTGCTGCTGCTGCTGCTGCTGCTGCTGCTGTTGCTGAGGCAGGGTGAGGCTGCAGAGTTCAGCTGTGAGGGGAAAGCAGGAAACTGGAGATGGCTGCTCAGATACAGCTGGGTGAATAGGTGGCAGGCAGTTGAGTAGGCTGTGTCCACAGCAGGGGACAGAGCCAAGCTGGAACTCAAGAGATGCTCAGGGGATAGTCGGGAGTCCTTGGTCCTTGATGCACACACTGGGTATCAGATGACAGGTGGAGGTGGGATCGTACAATGTTAGTGTTAGGAGTCCATCATACGGAGTCCAGGTGAGGGAATACACCCTTTCCTTCCCTTGATGTAGCTAATAAGTTCTTGGGTCTGGTTGGTGCTCCTGATACAGTTTTAATACTACATCCATGTTGTAGGGGTGAAAAGGGCCAATGAAAAACACCCTGACCCTGACTTGACCCCAGGACCAGGGCTTGAAATCCCACCAATCCCTGAGCTTGCCCCAGAACCAGGCTGTAGAATCCCACCAATCCCTGAAGTCCCTGAGCATGAAATCTCACCAATCCCAAGTCACACCCCGCCACCCGACCCCCATCAAGAAACCCTATATAAGCTCTGTACCCTGCTCAGTTGGCTGCTGCTTCTCACCCTAGAGGCAGCCCTGGATTCTTCCTCCCCAATAAATCTCTTGAGTGAGGTTTGTTGTGCGGTGTAACACTTTTACCGGAGGGAGCCCAGTTGTTACATTCCCAGGGATATCTCTGGACCTGAGCAGAGCTGTAACAACTCCAGTGAGGAAATCCTCCCCTGCCAGAGCAGAGTTGTTTCACCTGAGCTGGGGAAACCTTTCCCTGGAGCAGAGCTGTAAACTGCTGTGCTTACAGTGACTTTGTGGCATTCCTTGGCTTCCGACTGCCAGGATACTTTTCCATCCAAGCTGCAATGCTCACACATGTGCCTCCACAGATTAAATTCTCCCTGATAGACTCACAGCATCATTCCCTTCCTAGTTCCTGGAATAAGTCCTTCATCAGTCTTTGCTGGATGGGTGGTAGGCATGCAGTTTTATCCACCCAGGGGAGTGCTCTCACCCTTTGCTTGTAAAGGCAACATACAGCCCGAAGGAGAATAAAACACAGTGTTATAAAATAGAGAGTAACTCAGAGCAGGGCCTAGCCTGACCTCTACGCTTCATTTTCAGACTTAACAATTCAAAGTGTCAGATGCAATTCCACAAGGAAGCAAGCTCAAAATTAACATATCAGTTAGTTAACCTTTATAGAGAGTCCCTGAGGGAACCAGTAAAATCAGTCTTTTTTTTTCTAGTTTCTAATTTGCTAGTTCTTGCATCTTTGCCAACCACTTTTTAAAGGGAGAAGAAATACAGAGACAACAACTCCAAGGATTAATATAGCCTAAGAAATACCTCCAAAAGATGCACACATGTGAGTGTACATACTACAAACATGCACATCTTGTAAAGGCATGCCAAGAATTTTTTTAAAAAGAAATGCAAACACGAAGTGGCTGGAGTCTGTGACTTGTTTTTAGGAATGCCAACCACAGACTGATTGCTCCAGGCTGCTTTAGATGCCGTCGTCATAACCTCAGGAAAGACTTCATATGTGGTCATGTTACTCACGCCAGTGACCTAGCTGATACCCCTGCCTCCATATCTCAGATGTTTCTGCAGAGCCAAACTGGTTCAGCATAACCCTAAAAGCTTTCCCTGTTGTAGGCCACAAAACTGAAACAGTTCAGAAGACCCGGGAAAGACAAAGTCACCAGAAATGGTTCCAGAGGAACCCAAAGTGCTCAAAAGAGCCCCGAACAAAATGGAAGGCAAGGCGTTAGGTCCAGTGACTGGAGAGGATACAGCCAGGACCAAACTTTCTAGAGAGTTCCAAACAAATTCTATAAGCTCCTTTGTTTTCACCAAAGAGGCAAAAACCAAGATGCTGGCTGCAGTGGGAACCTAAGAAACATTCTTGGAATAAAGTTGCTCTGGCTGCCGCTTTGGGTAATCTTTCCACGTGGAGTCATCTTGCTGTGAACAGCTGCCACTCAGAATGTTCTGCCTGGGTGGTCCAAACAGTTATCAGGATTATTAAGGACAAAAGCTATGTCCTGACATCTCTAACTAGCCAGGTCTGCTCACCCATCTCAATTCCCCAGAGAACTCTGTCCCTTGTCTCTGGCCTTCTGCCTGTCACACACGTTCCACCTGTCCCTAGGATGCCTGTGCCCATCCGTATACAGGTGGTATTCACGGCATCAAGAGTCATGGGGACCAAGGACTGGTATGGGCTTTAGCCTAAATCACAGCCCTCTTCCCCATCCTTACCCACTGCAGGGTGGTTAAAAAGCTGGGACTGTGCCGAGTTCAGTAGTCCCCAGACCAGGGCAGTGGTGCAGTGTGGAGGCCAGAGGCTGGGGGAACTTTGAAAACAAGTGGTGTGGTAGGGGCATGACAATGTGGAGAAGAACTACCGATCCTGCCAAACTCTGGTCCCCACAGGGGAGGACTAGAGAGGAGGAAGAACACCGGAACTTAGGAGAGTGAGAGGAGGAAATGGGGGCCCAAGCGCTGGGCTCCCACACTTGAAGACTGGGAGAGCGAGTTTTATGGGGAGCCCCGAAGAATTTGGGAGCCAAGTCTTGGGCCTAAAACCCTTGGATGTCAGACTTCTCAGAGTTGCCTCAGCCAACAGTAGGGTGAACCATGGGCTAGCCAATAGTTGGGCTGACCCACCTTTAGCAGCGGCTGGGGAAACTGGGACATAGTCTCCCACTTGTGGGCTCTAGAGGGAAGTGCCAGGGCCCTCACCCTGGGGACTTGCCTCGTGCAGGGTAGCTCTGCCAGATGCTTGGAGTCAGGGAGCAGGCTTGCAGAGTGCAGCAGAAGCTCTCTTCAAAAGTCATGTACGGGCTTCCCAAGAAAAAGCCTGAGGCAGTAACAACAATTGAAACCTATTTAAGAGCAAAGACCACGGCTTTGCTTAGCAAAAAAATGAACAAGAAGAGAGAAAGCCATTCAAATCCACAAGATACTAGGAAGGTAGAAGAACAAAAGGTTCCCACAGAAGCCAACACCAAATGTTCTCCATAGTTTTCAGGGAAGATCCGGGAGGTGGTGTGGAACCTTTACGGAGGCTGTGGTGAAACAGAACCCAGTCGAGAGCCAGGAGCAGCATCTTGATATAAAGAACCAACTAGTCCCCTTGAAGGACGCACCGTGGAGGGCATAAAGATCCAGCTGAAATCCAGTTAGTGTGGGCAAGGAGAGTGATTCAAGTTTAGAGGCAAGAGAAGTGTGGGAATCGTTAGAATTCTTAGCCACTCCCCCAGCAACATGACTGCATGTGCCTGGCAAGATGCTTAGTCATCCCAGCGTCATCCGTGCGCTGTGTGATCACGTAATCTATGCACATGGGTAGTGAAGCAATGTAAGCCCATACGTGCACGTGCAGGGAAACTTATAAAAGCAGGTTCCATGCATTCCTCCTCTCTCTTCCGGCACAGTTATTCCACAGGCCTATGCACACCTTTCCTATTCCTTTCCCTTAATAAACTCTTATCGTGGGTTTTGTTGTACCTCGTGGCTTTTCTCACAAGGTAAACAGCGCCGCTTAATAAATAACAGGAATTACAGCCATCACAGAAAGGGGCAGGAGCTCCGTTAGCCAGGTTCCTCCAACATAAGACCTTCCTTGAGAGAAAAGTGAGGGAATCGAGCCTGTCACCAAGGAAGAAACCAAACCAAGTTTGCTAAAGAGGAGGAAGGCCCTGGGCCATGGAGTTTTCAGCCAAAGAGAATCATGTAGAATTCTGTCCCGGTGTCAACAGAAAGTTGACTACAGCCCCCGGCTCAGGACTGTCACAGAGAGGCCACAGGAAGCCTGTTAATGGAGGAGAAGGGGTAGTGAGACTCTCCCACCATCTGGAGCAACCCAGTCATGTCGGTAGAGTGGGCGACTCCTGCTCAAAAGGAAGTGCTTCGCTGAGCAGGACTCACCCAGCAGCTCCAGTAAGACACCATGCAGTGAGACTCCCGAGTTGCCGGGGTTGGAGAGCGGAGACCGTGAGAAGGTCCTGGATGAGAAGCTGGAGGTGTGGGGAAGCGAACGTCACACCAGCTTATGAAAAAGGTGTGTGTGGGGGGGCTGCCCAATAAGATCAGAAAACACCTGTGTCGGGTAGCTCTGAAAATCTCCATGGAAACCAAGCATCCGACAGTCAAGTGGATGATGGGTGGGCATCCTTGCCTTGAAAGTAATCATTTCTTTCAAAGCTGGTGAGGTGCAGTCTCCGGGAAAGAATAGTAGAGATTTAAGGCAGCGAATTTGAGATCCCTTTTGGCAAGCACTGTGACACAGAGGCGTGACAGCGGTTGACACTAGAGAATCAGAGAGAATTCACCTCTCCTGTCCAGAGCACAAGGGAAGCCTTGTCGTCCTGTCAGAGCTTGATCAGGATGGTGCGGGCACCTGGCACAGAGATCAGGGCAACTAAATGCCACTGCCTTGTGGCATCCGAGTCCCTGAGCTCCACCACCTTCCTCCCTTCATCTAAAAAGAAGAAAGGGAGACATCTGCAAGTAGAATTAGGACAAACTGGAGGAAATCTGGTATCAGCACATGCTTCATCCACTCCTAACCATTTTGATGGTGTGCTAGAAGACTCCCTGACTCCACAGCTTAATGACCCCTGGACCCGTCTAAAACCCTGCGCTCCTGTATGTAGCCTCCATTCTGGTGCTTGACTCAGGCTTAGCCTTGGCACCATTATGGTCTGGGCTGGGAAACACTGGAAAGCTGGGTACTCCTGGTATTGCTGAACAAGCTCTTTGCTCTGATGGCCGGATCCCACACCACCATGTAAAAGGGTGAGGGATCCAGGCTCCTCTAGAACATTCTTTCTCTGCCCAAAGAATTGGGGGGCTTTGAGGCTGTGATTATGATTGGGGTAGCACTCCTGTGAAAGTCAAAGACCTCCTGTCTTGAAGACAAGTCTTGTAGGGTACCCCATGTACCCCGTGACTTCAGCTTTCACGTCTTTTCTGGCCAGCCCTCCCCAGACTGGCTGTGTTATTATTATCCAGCTGAGAATATTTCTTCAACATCACAATGCAGGCAGTCACTGGCCTATGTATCAGGTCCCTTGAAGACACCTCGTTCCTGCGGTTCAAACATCAGGTCTTTTAGAAAAGTTCCATCCTCCAATCACCGGCAGGTGCCCTGGTCCCTAACCATTGGCCTCAGCAACAGGAGATCCTGTAGATCGGAGGGGCATTCATTTCAAAAGTTTCATCTCAAGTGTCTTGAAGTCACCCTAAGGGGTCCTTTTGAGGGGGATTTGTCCTTCAGAAATTGTCCCACATGTCTGGTTACTTCTGGCCACTGACCCTAAAGTGCCAGGTCCTTTACAAATGTCCTATCAAAAAAAGTCTTTGAAAAAGAGGTAATTTCAAAAGTTGCAACGTAACTTCCTTTGAGGATGAACTGTTGGCCTCAGCACCGGAAGGTCCTTCTGAGCAGGGGGAAGCCATGCGCAGAAGCCATTTCTCCAAGTGGTTTTCTGTAGCTGTTGACGCACCATCGTCAGCCAACTGCAAATGCCCATCTGTGGAAACCTGGTTTTAAAAAGGATGTCTTTGAAAATGTTGCCGCCTCAAGTCACTGGAGGATGAACTGTTGGCTTCGAGTTCCTTTTGAGGGGAGGGAGGTCTCCCTTACAAGTTGCGTCTTGAGTCCCTTGCTGACAATTTAGGATCCCCAGTAGGAATTATGCCTTGGAGGGATCCCCAGAGGGAACTGTGATCTTTGACTTTCCATCACTCCAGATTCACTACTTTGGCTAATTCTAGAGAACTGGAGTGAGTTTAACCCTCAAACTAGGGAGGAGGGTAATTGTTGAATTCCAGTCTTTCAGGCTCTTAATCAAGCCAGCACCGTTTCCTTCCTTTTTTTCCTTCCTTCCCTGGCCTTCCTCGCTGACCCCAATGGGAGATGACTCCTCCAGCAACTGCCATGCGCGAGCCGAGTGAGGCCTCAGCGACCGCTAACGGTGCAACTTCCCAGGTGGGAGCGGTCCTATCGACGGAGATCTCCGAGGCCTGTGCGCTGTTCCCCAGTGGACTCGGCGGGGACTCGGCGGGCGGCGGCGGGCGGCAGACGGCAGAGTCGGTCTGCACAGCCACTTTGAAGCCTTCAGTACTTGATGCACCAGGGGGCGCTGCCGAGTCTGGTTTGGTGGTCATCTATCCACTGTGCCAGGATGCTTCTCCGACCGAATGCGGTGCTGCAGAGGGCGGGTCCCCAGTGAAGGCCCATCTGACGCCAGAACCTACGGGTACAGGGTGGTGGTCGGTGCAACAGCTGCAGTGATGCCCACAGTAGCTGGGTGCTCTTGCCCAGCCTTTCCCAATTTGCCCTTGGGGTAGCTTCTTCCATAGCTGCTTACCCTGCATGGTGTCTTTTATTTGATGACATTCTTAGCTTTGGGATGGTGGAAGCTAGTGGTCCCTTAAGAATACAATTTAAGATTAAACAAATTTTTTTTTAAAGATTTATTTAAGTTTTGAATATTTTGCCAGCTCGTATGTATGTATGTGCACATATTTATACCTGGTGCTCTTGGGAGTCGGAAGAGGGCTTTGGGTGGCCAGGAACTGGAGTTACAGATGGTGGTGAGCCACCGTGTGGATGCTGGGAACCAAACTCTATTCCTCTGCAAGAGCAGCCAGTGCTGATGACTCATTTCTCTAACACCAATTTTAAGATTTTGACCCCTTCACAAGCATGCTAGGTCAGACACAGAGGTGGGCAATGAATGGTTTTCTAAGAGACTCAAAACAGTCCAAGATCATTTGACTCTAGTTTACAACATTTTATCACCATCTATAATCTTGAAGTTTAGTCATTTGGCCTTGTGGAATATTCTAACACAGGTGTAGCTTCCTCCCTCCCTCTCCCCCTCCCTCCCTCCTTCCCTCTCTCCCTCCTTTGGTCCATCCCCTCTATTTTTCCTTCTCCTTCCCTCCCCCTTTCTTCTGGGAACCTCAGTTTCCAAAAGTTAAGTATGCATTTACAGATACTCTCCTTATGTGACCAGTGTCCAATATCTTTGAATTATTAGGAGGCACTGCTGTAGTACATACAGTTAGCAAGTCTGAACATCATTTAACACAATTAGTAAGCACAAGCAGCAGTGTGTGGTGGCGCACACCTTTAATCCCAGCACTTGGGAAGCTGAGGCAGGCAGATCTCTGTGAATTGGAGGCCAGCCTGGTGAGTTCCAGGACAGCCGGGGCTATATGGAGAGATGTTAATATTATTTATTAACAGTTCAGATTCAGAAGTCTGAAGTTATGCCTCTTAGAAGGGTTGTATAACACAGAGTGCAACAATTAACATCATTACACGGAAGAACTATGTTGCCAGCCTGCACACTAACTTAGCTTTTACTATTGAAGCAAAATTTAGACTCTTTGGCTCTAACTAGATGTGCTGGCTAGTTTTATGTCAACTTGACATGAGCTAGAGTCACTGGAGAGGAGGGAACCTCAATTGAGAAAATGTCTCCATATGATGGGGCTGTAGGCAAACCTGGAAGGCATTTTCTTAATTAGTGACTGAGGGGGGGCAGCCCATTGTGGGTGGTGCTATCCCTGGGCTGGTGGTCCTGGGGTCTATAAGAAAGCAGGCTGAGCAAGTTATGGGGAGCAAGCCAATAAGAAGCACTTCTCTATGGCTTCTGCATCAGCTCCTGCCTCCAGGTGCCTGCCCTGCTTGAGTTCCTGCCCTGACTTCCTTCAATGATGAACAGTGATGTGGAAGCATAAGCCAAATAAACCCTTTCCTCCCCAAGTTGCTTTTGGTTATGGTGTTTCATCACAGCAATAGTCACCCTAACTAAGACAGAAACTGGTACCAGGATAGTGGATTATTGCTCTGATAAACCTGAACATGTGTTTTGTGGGAGGATTGTGGAAGGACTTTGGCAGTTTGGACTAGAAAAGCCATTGACTGAATGTTCAAAGCATGGTGAGCTTGGAACACAAGAATGCAGGGGATGGAGGCCTGGGAGTGAAGTTTCAGAGAGAAGCCTAAAGACTCTGTGGGGCCATTTGCTATTTTAAATTAAGATTCTGTCATTCTGGTCAGCTGAGGCTGAAGAGTCAGCCGTGATTAACAAGAGACCAGCACCATTGAAAGAAAACCTTCACATTCCTGGGACAGTTGATGCTGAGAAATTAGCAGTGACTAGGACGAGATCAGTATCACTGAAGAAGTGTTTCCTCAGAGTCAGTACCCAGAAGCTGTGTTTCAGAGGTGGCCAAGGTTGTAGCTTGCACTGGCAGCCAACTTGGTAGTGTAAGAGTCACTCAGGTGGTACTAGTTTTGAAGGCAGGAAGGGGTCATGGAAAGCTGCCGAGGCTTGGTACTGTGGGGCCATGCTGGAGTTCCTGAAGAAAGCCTGGGAGAGGTTACCAGTGAAAGTGCAACCCAATGCAGAAAGTGACGACAGCATTTTGGAGACACCAGTACGTTGGGATAACCACCAAGAATGGCAGCAGCGGTGGAATAGACCGAGCTGGAGTCTAGAAGACAGGTTGTGTGTGTACTACAGACAGTGGAGCCGGAGAAGTGACCCAAACCCTTTGAAGGAACCCAGAAGATCGTGAGTAAATCTCAGATAATTGGACATTGAGTTATTTACACTGTTGGAGTTTATTTTTGTTTTTGCTTTGTTCAGATTGTGACTGTGCCCTGGTTCTTGCTTCTTGAAGTAAGAAAGGGTTTAATTTATATTTGACTTGACAGGACCCCACAGTTGAGAGACTGAATATTAAATGGATTTGGATTCTAAAAGAGACTGGCTATTTTAAAGAGACTGGCTATTTTAAAGAGACTGAATTTTTAGGTGTTGAGTTTTTAAGGACTGGAGAATTTTTAAAAATTTGGAATAATAATTTTATATTGTGATGTTCCTATTAATGTGAGATCTATTTATTGGGGGATAAATAGCAAAGGAAAGGTTGTGGCTTGCTAATGATGTGTTTGTGTGTCAAGTTGACAAGGGGTCATTTATGCTGCTTAGTTTTATGTCAAAATGACACAAGCTAGAGTCACTGGAGAGAAGGGAACCTCAACTGAAAAAAAAATGCCTCTAGGACTGGAGATATGGCTTAGTCATTAAAGGCTAGGCTCACAACCAAAAATATAAGAGAAAATGCATCTATAAGATCAGCTGGATGGTGGTGGTACATGCCTTTAATCCCAGCACTCAGGAGGCAGAGGCAAGCAAATCTCTGTGAGTTCAAGGCCAGCCTGGTCCACAGAGGGAGTTCCAAAACAGCCAGGGCTACACAGAGAAACCTATCTTGGGAAAAAATAAACAACCATGCCAAATAAACAAACAAAAAGACCAGGCTATAAGCAAGCCTGTAGGGTATTTTGTTAATCAATGATTGATGAGAAAGGGTCCTATAGGTGGGGTTTTTCTTTGGAACCTCTGGCCAGCTCCCAGATAACCACACAGAGACTTAATATTAATTATAAATGCT